TAATAATTACACATAGGCCTATATAATGTATATGTAGTGAGTATACAATTCAAAACATTATCATTTAATCACTGAATTTACAGAAAATATGCAATATTGTGATATATATTGCTGTGGAGATATGACATTTTGGTTATATTGCACAGCCCCAATCTCCACAAAGATAACAGCTCTCCTTGATATTTTTACTTTATTAGTTTCAGAAGTAAAACATTTAGCTTATGCTTATTTCTTAGCTGACCTGTTCCGACATGCGTATGTCAATCAGGACAGTGATTCTGCAACAGAATTTCATTGAAATTATTAAATTGACAGTAACATTTAATTTTCACTAGCAGTATTTATATTTTAGGCTGGAACCTGACCCAAACCCACAGTGAGGACATTAAAATCTGCCCTAACCTGAACTGGATTTGAAAAGCCCATCAGGCTGCGTTCAAGATGCAGATCTCTGATGTTTCATTCACACATTATGATCATTCTGAAATAAACCGATAATAATGTCCACATGTCGTCACCACGAACTGGCCCTGAAGTAGTTGATGCTCATCTGATTACATAAAATGCCGCCCAATTGTCTTCATTATAATGAAGCTGCTGTATTTTCTGTTGCTGCTCCACATTATGTTAATGATCTGACACACAGGCCACACATTGTTCATTCATATGCAACAGAGGTTTCAAGAGTTCAAGTTCAACTTCAGTTCTCTGCCTTATCTTCACTGTGTGTCTGGAGAACAAAAAGGGCCAATTTGCATTCAGTTAATACTCTGTTCTGAGCAGAGGCACACTGGGAAAGTCCCCAAGTATTTAGACGGCCTGGTAATAACACGCTAATGTCTTAAGTCATTTTACGTGTTATCACAGTGCCTTTTATGCTTTTTGTGTCATTTCACGCCATTTTTATTTCGTGCAGAGATGATGTGACATGTTATGCGCAAATTTTAGAGAGTAGAAATGTAAGATGATGTTAGGTTTAGGTGGATAAGTCAAACAAGTACAGGACTTTCACCCAGGAGACCCAGTATCCTAGAATCCACAGGCATTTGTCATCATATTATAAATCTATCTTAAATTCATGCTTATCACTAAGGTTGTTCTTATTCCTGTAGTGTCAGTGTCAGGCATCATTATGTTTTTGAGCATCTGGTTGCATATAATGAAACAAGTTGCATTAAAACATCCACATTCTGTGTTTGTCGTCTGACTTGTCTGTGGCTTACAAGTGATATCGAAGCTCTCTCAATATGTGAGACTGACGTTGATAAATACTGCGATTTCCTGTTACTTGCGAGGTATTGAGTGATTAATCTTCAAATTGCATTTATAATTTATATAATTATATAATTTATTTATAATCTCCAGGTAGCTCTGATCAGACTGTAATGAAGGCCAGTGATAGTCAAAATGACCCTCACAGGTAAGAAAACAGAGGAAAAAAAATCACGTAATTGGATTTGTTATTTGATATTATTAATTATTTTAGCACCTAGAAAATGAACTTTTAATGATGTCAGTATGATGGATTTAATTTGTTAACGTGTTGGATTAAGCGAGACGAGGTGAGGCGTTTGATTGGCCAAAGCCGGTGAGTGAGACACATACTGAGTTTCTCACACACATCACACATTTCTCTCATAATCACTTTAATGGCTGCCGGCTCTATAAGGGCGCAGACACTCCAAAGGGTAATTTGTCCAAAGTTGCTACGCGGCTGCTTTAACTCGCGGCTAATGGCGGAGAGCTAATGTCAATGGCTCTGAGAAAATGACTCCTCATGTATGACCTTTATCACTTTTAGCTCAAGTGTTGCACTTGAACGAATGTGACGTCTCCATCAGGAGGGACAGGAGCTCACCTTGACTTCCTTCAGAATATGGCACATGGATCAACCATACCAGGTTTTTCTTGAATGTTTTAGCCACTAGAAGTCTGTCATCAGTGGGAAAAATGACACTTGTTTGCGTGCTTTTGGTCAGATTGGCTTTTGTTTCTGAGAAGCAAGGAAATGGTGTAGAACTGCAGCAAAACCTCTCAGGGAGGAGATGAATGGAAGGACATACAAGCGCCTGACTTTGACTCTAGAGGCCGAGGTTCATGTTGCGTCTCCTTCCAACCACTACCAAGTAGTTTTTGTGCTCGAACGTAACCAAACCTTAACCATAGCAGTGATTGTAACAGTCATTTGTAACTGTTTTGGCAAATAATGTTTTTTTTTTTTTAATTGTATTTATTTAATTTGACCTTTATTTTACTTGATAAGTCAATGGGGAACCAGTTCTTATTTACAATGACGACCTGGCAAAGCGGCAGCAACCGGAGGCAAGTCGATACAAGAATTAGAACATGCATACAGCTAATGCAAAAAAAACAATCCAGTTAGAGTTAAAACAACACAATATATATAGAATGTACACAACAGTCTACTGTACTGTATTGACTCTTAAACCCACCCAGAATATATGCGTTACATTGATGCACTTACGCACATTGCAATTTCGTTATACCCTGAATAATATTTCGCACATCCCTACAACAGTACGGCTCTTCAATCATTTATGTAGGTAACGGTTATGTTATATTGTACATATTGTCTATATTTTTGTCCTCATTTATATTACTCTATATTTATCGTAATGCACCATGTGACCAAGGCAAATTCTTGTATGTGAAAACCTACTTGGCAATAAACCTGATTCTGATTCTGGTATTCCAGAGAGGTAAGTTCAAAAGCAGGTGCAGGAATCAGAAATTAACGTAATGAGTTATTAAAGGAGGATAAGGACGTCCAGACTTTTGGCAGCAAACCCGTAGATTAAGTCGCCATTGTCCAGGACTGCTGATAGTGGCTGCCGCGTCAGGACTTCAGAATTTGAGGTAATCCATCAAAATGCAGATCCCGTCATCACATTTTAATGAAGCTGCAAGTAATGACCTTCTTTTTCTGTAGCATTCAAGGACACTCCATCATCAGATAGTTAAAACGTACAGTAAAAGACAAAGAATGACCACAGGTGACCTCTGCAAAACTAGAATGGTAATTTGGTCATTTCTTGCGTTATAAAGGCTGCTTCTTAGGGGCTGATTCCCAAGTCCAATATGATTTTGAATCCTCCATGCACAAAAGTTTGTCATGGAGTTCCACAAGGTTCTGTGCTTGTACCACTTCTATTCGCCGTACATATGCTTCCTTTAGGCAACATTATTCCATTAACTTTTTAATTATTATTATTATGCATATAGTATACCCAATTATATCTATCGATCAAGCTAGATGATCTCCCTCTCTTTCTCTCTCTCTCTCTCTCTCTCTCTCTCTCTCTACCCACAACATGTCGAAGCAGCCCACCTAGAGCCAGATTCTACTTGAGGTTTCGACCTCTTAAAACCTTACCTCTACTATTTAAAAAAAGTGAGATAACTTATTATGACTTCTCACCATACAAATACAATTGAATTGAATAAAACAATTTCTACTATTAATTCAATTAAAAGCTTACATATTGTGGGTATTTTGTAAGATGATTTTTAGACTCTGTATGTTTAAAGCTGATTAAAGCCCCGCCTATTCCAAATACTGATCATTTAGTTGGTTGAACAGATACAGATAATGGTGTACTCGCTCATCCCTATTGATGATAATTCAATTTAACCACTTTTAGGCCAGTGAAATAGTATTATTAATGGAATTTTTGGACAAATAACTAACTACATTAACTACGGTAAAACCTTTCTTTATGTAGGATATTTATATTTATTTATATATTTATTATAGGATAGGCATTTAATTCCTTTTGCACAAAACTCTTGCTCAACAAAAAAACACTACCAAATTGTTTTATATAAACATTAGGCTATTGAATAACATCGACAGAAATCATTCATTTGATACTTTCTCATGGTTTCTGTAAAATGAACTAATTGATTAAATTCAGGAAATTAAAGTCAGAAACTGTAATTTTTTGGGATGAAAAAACACATGATGGTATTTTATATGCCAATTAATGTATTTATAGACTATAAATGAATCAATTATTCACTATTTTCCCACCATAATTTCATTTTAGACATTTATGTTGGGAAATTAAGTGTAATCAGTAAAAATATAACTACAGTTTACTTAATTAAATAAATGTAAAAGATCTGTTAATAAAACATATTGGCAGTGGCTCTGTCTGCAGTAAAATACTACTGTAAGTCGCTGTGAGCTGATTTCCATGGAGATGATCTCTGTTTGAATTATATAAGTAATTAAAGTATACACGATTTAAAGTTAAGAAGATACCTAGAAGACTTTAGAAGACAATATATTTTTGTTACGGAGAGAGAAGGAAGGACAGGAAGTGGTGAAGTGGTAAATAAAACCTGAGGAGACTCTTGTAAACCGAAGAACCTTGTGTCATTCAAATTTCCATTCACAATATAATGTCTTGCAAGGTTGTCCTGGTTGAGGACGAAGAGTTTGATCCACATTTTGTGGATCCAGCCTGAGATGTCATGTGTATAAAACATGATTTCTCCACCTTCACCTGCTGAACACAATCAAATAAATGGTTCAGCATTACTTTTAATTTGGTGTATTTGTCCCCTTACATGTTTATCCTCCATTTCATGCTTAAAATATATTGTTAATTTTCACCTGTTTTGTTTGTTTTGTGTCTTTATTCCCAGTCCTTTCCCTTCCCAAGCACAGTTCTGGACATAAATTACAGCTTTGTTATAATGTATGCATATTACAGGCTTTGTCACCACTAACATCAATGCGCAGTGAACATGCAGCGAGTGAATGAGAGATGCATGACTTGCTACTGAGCTGTCTGATAGCGATCGTTGCATTTTGGTCTTCCCTTTTCTTCCTTTTCCTTAAAATTTCTTTGTTTTCTTTTGTGTATGTAATGAACGTAACTGTGTGTCTGTTCTTCTTTTTTCATTTTTGTAACTTGAATGAAACAAAAGGGGGACAAGCAGGTTCATTCTATGTGCATGTGCTTTCCCCCTAGACTCTGGCTGCCCTAACGAGAAATTCGATAAATCTGCTTCCAAACCATCTCGCACAAGCTTTGCATGTCCACTCTGGTCCTGAGGAAATTAACAAGCGAATAGAGAGCGCCATCGACTTACGGAGTGGCGATAAGTTGAGAAGAGAGCATATCAAGCCTTTCTCACTGATGTTTAAAGACTCCAGCCTGGAAGAGAAGGTAGCTGGGGTTTAGACAGATAACTGTTTTTTTTTTCTTTCTCTTTTTCCCTCCTCATATCTATTCTTAGATGAAGATTTTCAGAAGCAAAACAAGAACCAACAATTTTTTCCCCCCCATCATGAGTAAGCTAAAGGCACTTGAAATATATAGATAATCTGGTCCAGGGTTTTCTTTCCGTTCAGTACTTTCCCTCATTTGGTCTTCCCGTGAATGGAGTCTGAAGCGTGCCACCAGAATAATTATGAATTCAGTTTGTTTAATGACAGCAACAACAACTACATTTAATTCACATTTAGATGATTCACTAATAAATTCAATATTTAAAAATATTAATTCAATTAATTCATTCATTGCTTTGTGCTCCAATAACAGTTGAGCAACCCTTCGTCAACTTTTGAAAACACAATCACCTTTTCAAGATGGTTAAAAGATAAAAACAACTAACTAGCTAATCTGCGTCAACGTTTGCTAGCAAGTAACAACTGATAGCTAATGTTAGCCAAATCTTAGCTAACTAACGAGCCAATTTACGTCAATTGTTAGTTAGCTAAAGTTTAAAATGCTAGGTAAGTAGCCAGCTTATGTTTTATATAAATTAGCTAGTTAAACATTAACTTAATCAGTTTATGGTAGATTTATGTTTTTCAAGTTTACAACTGCATCTCATGAAGCCTCCATCCATCCAGCTCCATCCCCTGAGGAAGACCACGAGGTGCAGTTGAAATCTTAAGTCAAGCCTATGTTCTCAAGGTCAAAAATGATTAAATGAAGTTTATGATAGCTTTTTAAAATGTAGGAATTTATAAATTGGTTGTAGTGAACCGTTGTAGAATTATACAGCCGGCACACTTCAGACTCCAAACTAATGTGCAGGAATAAACACAGTTGACCTAATCTTCAGAACAACCTTAACCTTTTTTAATGAGTTACTGCTAACTTAACCATGACTCATGTTTGATTTTAAAATTGAAAGAAAAACGGCTTTGATCTTTGCTTCGAGGAGCACAGAATATTCAGCTTGGCGAAACACTAAAGTTTGGCAATGCCGAAATTGAAAAATCCTCCTTCAGTTTACTCATGACCCAAAGTCCATGCCATGGACCGGTTACCCTTTTACAGTCTTGTGGAAAAAGTTGACTTGGTCAACTTTTTTTTTTCTTTTTACAGGAGTACATTGCATTCACTAAAAAAAAAGTATTTCTGACATGTTTTCTTAAATTTACATCTTACATATCCTGTCATTGTGGCTTTACATCTCACTGTTATAAAACCTTCACCTTGAAATGTTTGAAATAGAGTTAATACTACAGTTAAATACCACTAGACTGGATTACTAGAGTACTAGTAGTCATTTTTAAAGTATCACTTAATTAAAAGCTTGAACAAGAGCAAGATAAGGACACTCGAGGGGGTAGGTGAGGGAGGACTTCCAATTGTTCTGACTGCCCATTATTCCGAAACCCCAATAGTTGGAAAAATGCCCATTTGTCCCACAGCCCATTATTCCGAAAACAAAAGCCCACTGCTCCGAAGGCCCATTGTTCTGAAAATACATACTCCGTGGAGTTTCTTGCTCTTTAATATCTTAGTGTATTCATGTCAGGTGAATTTCCACGTGGTGAATGATGTGAAACGGTCACAGTTTGGATAGGTTTAGGCATCAAAAGTTGTTGGTTAGGTTTAGGAAAAGATAGTGGTTTAAAGTATTTTAGTGAGGTCACTTAGGTTATGTGTTTGATACCAGAGTGTGTATTGTAAGAACAAATGGCCTTCGGAACAATGGACGTTAGTTTCCGGAATAATAGACTGTTAATAGGCGTGCGGTCCAATGGGACATTTTTCGGGATTATTTGGGTTTTGGAATAATGGATTTTCACAACACTGGCATTGCACCAGGTAAGGATCATACCCTAACTCTATACCTAACTGAATTTGTGTTGTAAAATTATGACAAACGATCAACATGATGAATAGTTGTTCCTGCTTGATAAAACAGGACATCCACCTCAATTAATCCCTTAAATCAGCTGTTCAGTTAGTCATTGTAAACTCATCCTGCTCAGCCAAACATTGTTCAAACCCTTCAGGAATTATTCTACAGGAGATCCAAATGTTTCCAAAGATGCCAAATATATCAGGCTGAATTGTGGGTAAATGTGTCTAAAATGGTGGGCAAGCCAACTGGAATATTTCAGTTTAATGGAGTCTTGGCTTTGACTATTTCACTCTGTGTAATATATCTTCAATGAACAGGACTTAGCTTTTAAAGAATGCGATATATGATACTGTCAGAATAAGGAACAACATGAAGCTGCTTAAAGGGAAATAAAAATGGAAAACTGGATTTTTAAGGGGTTAATTTGCTATTCCCATTGAATGGTCGTTATCTGGTTATCACTACCATTATAATGTTTCAGATGGGGAGAACTGCACCTACCAGAAGGCCAGAAGATATATCGTCTACTATTATTATCACTGATAAATGATCATATATTTTCAACATGTTCTCACTCCGCAATCAAGTTAGCAATAATAAACATGTAATAAAATAACGCCCTTTCAAAATAAAGCTTGCTGCGGTTGCAGTTCAGTTACATTTAGGGACCAAAAGTAATTGGTTTGGTTTAGGAAAAGATGGTAATTTATGTTACATCCCGGAGGTATTTTAAGTATGCTATGTAACTTCAGTCAACGTTCACTTTTGGTCTCGCACATCCAACTTAACAATAAATGATAAAGGCCTACTGAGCCAGTTAGGAGGTAGAGTGGGGCCATACTACCTCGAATCTGTCCTCCCGATGACAACTGATAGCAGCCATTTAGTGAGCTGGTGACATTTGAAGCCAAGTGTTTATGTATCTGCTAAAGCATCAGGCCAAAGAGGAAATAAACACTATAAAGTGGTTTGTTTACAACTGCAATCTTTTGCTGTCAACAGCTGACACCAATCAGAGTTGTTTCCATAGCGACGAATTCCAATGAAACAGCATATAGCCGCATTTTGACTGATCACTTAATGTTTATAATACACATAATTATAATTACGAGATGTTAAACATAACCATGAGATATGGAAGTCGTAATTACATGAAAATGTATCTGGATATTCTTTTTCTTTGGTGAATGCAATGCACTTCTGTAGCTTTTTTGTTCCCTTTCTTTCCATTTTTTTGTTCCATGAATAAGCTCACCTTTTAACCTTTGAGTTGACCTTCATACGGGCCCTTTTCCCACTCCACATCTATGTTTCCCTTTGAGTCCCACCGCCATCTTCAAAACCTTTCCAAGAACCTTATTTTTTTGGTTGACCTCTTTAACCTCTTCAGTAAATGTGCAGTGATTTGCTGTTGGCCTCCCTCATTTTTATTTTTTATTTTTTGCCAAAGTTGTGACAAAACGTGAAGCATCTTCTTGCTAATTTCCCAGCACTCTTTGAGAAAGAGACAGAGCGAGGACGGGGGCAGCGGGGGTCACAGGGCGGAAAGTTAAGAGACTGAGATGAGTCAGGCTGTTGGTCCAGATTGGTGACTCATCAGTCTAGAGTCTTACATCAGCACAGCTTTCTTCAGGAGATGCTAATGCCCACGTTCTCAAATGCCAGACAGTTTCCTCATTTTATCTCAATATAACCAATGACAGTTTAATTAGGTAAAGTACTGTGTAATTGGAAATGTAAAATGCTCCTTTTGTACATGTAAAATTTACAAGACAAGTTATTTAATTCTATGTTTAGAGTGCATTTAAAAGGTTCAACATTTTGGAAAATAAGCTTTTTAGTATTCTTTCCCAGAGTTGGGTGAAAATGTAATCAGTTTGTGGTTTCAGACGGAGTTGCGTGCTGTAACTGCTTCTTAGCAAACCCCAACCCCAAAATCCACATCAACCATTAGCTAACAAATAACATCTGATAGTTAATGTTAGCAAAATGTTGTTTTTGCTAAGCTAAACTAAGCAAATTGCTTCCAATCCCCTAGCTCCATACGTAATGCACAGACATGAGATATTTATCAACAATTATCCAAAATGCTAGCAATTAGCCTTCAAGGCTACTTCTACTACCAGTTTGTTAATTGATGTTCCCTGACTAATAAAGTAAGAAATAGTACCACTATGATGGAAAAATAATCAACGACAAGTAAAGGTCCTGCATTCAGGTTTTCCTGAAGTAAAACAAAACAAGCATTAGCAGTAATGTGCTAAACTATTCAAATGCAACAGACTAATAGTGAAAATGATAATAAATAAATAATAAATAGTGCTAATGCGTTAACAACAAAATCTCCCGAATTTTGAGGTACTTTTTACCCACTGGGTAAACGGTATCTCTAGCTTTGATTTCAGTCAAAGGATCACTGTTAACTGAAAGGTTTGGACATTTTCACCCAACATCTGTGCTATTGTCATTTTTAAGGTAAACTCAATGTAGCAGAGGATCAAGACGATATTTAAATAGGAGTGCTAGCATAAAAGCACTAACCTGCCATCCTTGGTTTTCTGATATTTTACTATTGTTGAGTTGTTAGCTGCGACTAATCTAAAAGTCAAGTCTAATATTTCTCAAATCCAGATTCACATTTCAGTTAATCTTTTCAAAAACCCTCTCCCACTTGCGCAGTTAGCTCATTTATGTTTTATTTTTTTAGCTCTCCGTTTGTGTCTCTGACTCAGCTAATAGCGGCTAACAGCTAGCATTGTGCTTGTCAGCTTTTCACCTTCCCCAGGACCCCACAGCTAACCCACCTGCTCCTGTCTCTCTCTAACGCTTGTGGTTGAACCATTGCATGTGGCTGTGTCGGTGCGTTGGTGTGGTTGAGGTGCATTTCAATGTGTCCAGTCTTCTCGTTTGTCTGAAAACTTGTTTCCCCATCTTCCCCTCACCTCCCTCTTCCTCCTTCTTTCTCTTCTTCTTCTTCTTCTCCCTTTCACGGTGCAGTACTCCCAGATGAGAGATGAGGTGTTCAAGTCCAACCTGGTGTGCGCCTTCATCGTGCTCATCTTCATCACCACCATCCAAAGCCTGCTTCCATCTGCAAGGTAAATTATGTCGACCTGGTGGACGGTTCACCTGAAAAAGTCCCACCACACCTCCAGGGGTTCGACTAGCTTTCAGTTCTCAGTGTATCTACTCAAAGAGTTTCTTTCATCAGTCTTTCTGAAACACATTTTTAAGGTTTTGGAACAGGACTGTCTTTTTTCAAATATACATATATAGATAGAGTACTAGCACTACTCTACTGGACAGAAAAAAGTTTGCACTTTTTCCAGAGCAAACCATGCTCATTTTGTTATTTTTCAACAAGCAACAGTTTCTGAGTTTTAGCACGGATGTGCGCTCTAAGTATTCCTATGTATTCCTGACTCCTGGAGTGTTTAGCAGTCTGTGTTTTTTGCTCCGAAGAGCTAATGAACCAACTGTATACAGGATAAGTTGGAAAATTTGCAGCCGTGTTTCCATCCAAATGTTTTCAACCACTTTATAACAGAATTTCAAGTATATTGGCAAAAGAAATTGCTAATGATAACTTGTTTCCATCCAACTTGATAAAGATGTAACATTTCTTAATTATGAGATATTGATCGAATTTCAGAATATTAAATAAAATATATATAAAAAAATTTAAATGTTGGGAAAGTTCAATCCAGCTGATGCTTATTATTATTTATTTTTTTATTTTTTTTCATTTATTTTTTTTTATTTTTTGTGTTTTTTGCAGGATGGTAACCATGGTGATCCAGTTCTCAATCCTCATCGTCCTCCACTCCTGTCTGGTCCTAGTTACAACGGCGGAAGACTACAAGTGTCTTCCTTTGGTCCTGCGCAAAGCCTGCTGCTGGATCAACGAGACATACGCAGCACGAAACGTCATCATCTTCGTATCAATCCTCATCAACTTCCTGGCAGCCATGATCAATATAGTGAGTTCGATTTCCACTTCCTGATTATGGTTTGATTGAAGAAGATTTAAACAGCTGGTATTTCACCAGGATTTCTTGACTCTGTTCGGGGATGAAACTAGCCTTCTTCTAAATGTTCCTGCTTGTCAAGAAATCCCATGAAAAGATCAAAGTAGTCCATCTGTCAATACTTGTTGATCAGGCTTTGTTGGTTTGGGTCTCTTAATGTTGTTGTGGACAAGTACAGTCCATTTACCATTTGGTATCGGTATCACTTTAGGTGGTACTGGTATTGGTACTGGTATCTGTATCACATTAGGGGTACTGGTATTGGTACTGGTATCCGTATCACTTTAAGGGTACTGGTATTGCTACTGGTATCTGTATCACTTTAGGGGTACTAGTGTTGGTATTCACCATTTTTTAAATGATACCCAGCCCTAATATCACCAGACTTGTACTTTAAGATCAGTGGTGAAACAAAGGGGCAGCTGATGTCATGTTGTACTGAAAAACATTCAAATTAAATCCTTACTTAAAGTCCTCCAACCCAGACCTTTAAATAGTATACTATAGTAAGTTTAATGTACACTTAGAACCAACTTCATACTATAAGAAATCATAAAAGGGTTCAAGTCAGATCAAACCAGACTGACTGAATTTCAGAGCAAGGATGTTGTGTGATTAGTTTGTTATTATATGACAATCTATTTCATAACTTCAAGTTTCAGTAATTCAAAAGCTGTTTTTTTTTTTTTTTGATCGTCTGAAAATGTGACCTCGTCGACCCCAATTTACCTGACACGCATCTGAAAGACACTGGCTCACAAGTCATTACTTTACTAAAGCACATGAAGCAGGCTCATAATTAGCTTTTGGTGTTGCAAGGTCTCTGTTTGTATCAAGCAGAGCTTATTATGCAAACCCCCGAGGCCTCAGCTGGTGAGAAAAGGATCAGTTTCGTCAAAGAAGAATAAGCCATAAAAGAACCTTCACAGTGATATTGAGAAGTTTGTTTGTGTAAATTAATTCAAACTGGGGAACCCAAATTGCAAGTGGTTCTTTGCTCATACAAGGGATTTGTTAAATAATCTGTTTACATTCTGAGGTATTAATTAATTTTCAGCCTACACCAGAGTTCAGGAGTTCAGCACTTTGGTGTTTGGAGGACATGGTGGTTAAATATAGAGAAAGGAAACGTCCTGTCTCGTATCACAGCTGACTTTTTCAATATTTGACAAACACAACAAGCTTCCTCTGAGTGCTTTGAGTTGCTTTTACTGAACCATATAAACATTAATTGTGCTTTAGTAGCCACAAGCTCATAAGCAAATAAAATATCTTGTCAGTGAACATGTTGCAGATTTGTTTGGTCAGATAAAAACATATCTGCCATATCCTTAAAAGCCTTTAAAGTGCTTTTAAAGATGGAGGCAATAATCAGAGAAAAAACATTAGGAATGCAACAACTACAAACCCACATGGGTTTATCAAAATGAGGAGATCAGTTCATTAGATTTTATGTCCCCATGCAACTGTAGTTGGGGCAGGAGAAAGAAAAACATTTTAGTTAAAAATATAAGAAATGCACAAGCCAATGGATGTCACACTACAGCAACAGCATATCAAAGTCCTTCCACTAACTGAAGTTGTTTCTGCCACTGACAGACTCAGATTGTTATTGTCAGTGTCTGACAGCATTATGGAAAGGATCCCTACAGAGATAGACCTTTATTAAACGTAATATCGCTCTCTCTCCTCACTTTATTCAAAGTGGACAGAAACAGAATAAAACTCACCGTCTTTATTAGTCTTTATACTGTTCCAACAGTCACCAATGTAGATGATAAAAACTACTGTTTCGGTTGCTCTACTCAGCTGAACACAGCCAGACCTGCTCTGTAAACAAACCACGGAGAGGCTGCGATAGCAACACAGGAAGAGGGAGTGTGACATTGTCTTTACATAGTTTTTGCTTGTATAGTTATCTTTTGAATCTCCATTTTAAGTAAAGATAAAAAGATAGAGAGAAAAAATAGATATGGTTTGTCAAATATAATCTGTTTTTCATCTTTGAGCCTAGTCCAATGTTGATTCTAATGTCCATGCTAACCACAGGTTTTTCTTCTTCTTCTTCTTCTTTTTTCAAACAAACTTGAAATTTAAATGCATCACTTCCTGTGAGGCAGGAAGGAACGAGGACATGCTTCTCAACCTTGTTGATTCAACCTGAGCTGTGAATTTATGACACAAACATCTTGAAAGATTTAAAAGCTTGATGACAGAATGTATGAAGAGAAATTTCTACTGTACGGTATCGGTTTTATACTGTACAACAACATTAATTCCCCCTGTTGGTCTCTCACAGCTGTGGTGCGACTTCGACAAGTCCAGCACCTTCAAGAACCAGACGTACAACGAGTCGGCCTCTATCCCAGACATCTGCTTCTACCCAGAGGTACCGACTAAATGAGTTGTCTGAATTTTGCAGTCAGGTCCATCTGTTTTTTTTTTTCACTTCTGCAACAGCGGCAAAATGATGAATTAAACATCCTCGACATCTGCTCGCACCCAGAGGGAGGTCTCGCCTCAGACAACGGCGACTGATGGAGCCATCAGAACGTCACACAGAAAACATCCATTATGTTATTTTGCTCACACAATATGCAGCTGATTGATGGACTCAATAAGGGAGCTACATTTTTATAGCTCCAAGCTTTGGTTGAGGCACGTATCGTTGCGTGTATATGTCACAACGTTGTTTCCTCCAGAGGGGCAGGAAAGCTTGTGTGTGCGAATAAGAGCTGTTTTTAGATGCATAAAAAAGAGTTATTGACTTTCTCTAGCTGGCTCAAAACCAGACTGGAATATTAGATTAGAAAAACTAAAAGAGATCCCAAATTAGAAGCTTTTGATGCAGCTGAATGTCAAGTATTTATTATATTTATATAATACTTTATTGTATGTTTTATATTCTTTAGGTCAGTTGAAAAACATTTGTAGAATATCCTCTGTGGCTCTTGCACCAACTCGTTCTCACTCCCAACTCGTCAAATACTGCCGCTTGGTCAGTGGGAACATGGTTTGTTATACCATTCATGTAGTTTTCATTGGAAAAGCCTTCAGTGCCATTATTTGCTCTTGCTAGCAGCATCTATGCTTAACTCTTTAGCAGCCGCCATTGTTACATTGTTACAAGGACGGCGATTGGTCTCGTACCACTGTACCGGCCATAAACACATAGATTGAAGCCTGGCAAGATGGATTCTTATGTGATCTTGTGAGTCCAGTTACCTTGTAAGGTTCGGTTATTTATGGACAAGAATAAATATGCAACGTCTGGTTAGACTTTCAAAATAAAGCTTGTGTGGTTAACGTCGGGAAACGTTTGATTTTATTTAGGCACATGAACTATTTGGTTGGTTTTGGAAACGGACATAAGTTATGTTATACTAAGTATGTTACACAAGGTAAGTTACGTAGATTACTTGACAAGTACTTGTGTACTTTTGGTTTCACACGGGACACGAACAGCAGTCTCCAGGGTTAAATTCCTGTGTTGGTTTGAGCCATCCTTTATTTGACAACTTGGGAGTGAGACAGAATTGCTTCGGGTGTTTTGTCAAGTCTGGGAAGGTTTGTCAGTTTGGGCTTGGACACTTCAAATTATTAACAGAAAGCCTGTGTTACAAACTCAGGGCATGGACTTGACAGATGTGGGTGTTAACCAGGCAAGGGAAATCTTATGAAAAGATGCATTATGGGATATGTAGGCTTTAGTGTTTGGAGGTTGACCCATGTTAGAGACTAACAGTAAGTATCTGGGCTTTAGAAAAATTTAAAAAAATTTATTATTATTATTATTATTATTATTATTATTATTATTTATTACTGTATAATTATTTTCCCCCAAGATAATGGAAATGCAACTGGACAAATAAAATTTTGACCTCTTGGTAGCGCTAGGAAAAGTCACCAAAGTTAATACAGTTCATCTGTGAGGGGAACATGAACATGTTTCAGTAAAAGCTGGATCTGATCATATTAACCATGTCTTTGTTGTTTCTTGTCAGTATTTTGTGTTCACGGGGGTCCTGGCGATGGTGACGTGTGCCGTGTTCCTGCGGCTCAACTCGGTGTTGAAGCTGGCGGTGCTGCTGGTGATGATCGCCATCTACTCGCTGCTGACCGAAGCTTTCTACACCTCGCTGTTTGTGCGCTACGACACTGTCCACCACAACACAGAGTGAGTGCTTTAGAATCACATGTTGTCGTTTTCACATTACATTTACATTTTCATACTCTCAAATATCAGATTCAGCCAAATAAATCGAGGTTCAGTTGAGGGGAGACACTACATACCTGATAGATATCACCATAAAACATCCCCAGTTGATTACTCACATTAAGACAATTAGTTTTCTGATTACAACTTTTCTAAAATGTTATGTTTGAATAAGCAAATGAGGCGTTATCTCATAAGATATTCACTATTTTGCATACATTTCCAGACAACATTGTGAACATTGGTTAAAGCCAGGTTCAAAATTCATTTTTCATACATAATAGAGTCAAAGGTACGACTTTTTACTTCATGAACTAGAAAATACCATGAAAAATCCATTATTGCCATGTTTTTAGGAATAAATAATAAATGTTATATAAATCAGTGATATATGAACAAACTCTTCAGTAAAAACCTTCAGAATATAGATAGAAATACATTTTGTATTACCTAATTTGCGTACTTAAACATAGAATTTCAGAAAACTTGTGTTATCTAATGATAACTCTTTGTGAAATCTACAAAATGTAGTAAAACAGGCACCTAAACGTGTGTTTTGGGTGTTTACTTTCTGCTAGTCTGAAAAAAAGACATTATGGAAGAAAAATAGCAAAAGAATCCACCAGTGTTTGTTTGTTGATCATCTGCAAACTTCCAGCAGTCCATCACTCTTCTTGTATGAACAGTAACACAAGAACAAAACCTGACTGAAACTGACTTCAAAATGTTTCTTCGTCTGCAGTTTATTAACAAAGTACACTTGTTAAAGTAAAGACAGGTAAATTACCTTCTCCTCACTTCTCTCACTGTTTCCTCGCCACTTCCTTCCACATCAGGGAGCCACGTTGACCTTATTTCTGGAGAGAAATGTTGCAAATGTGAGAAAACTCATCTCGCAGGTTGTCAGTGTTAGTACAGTGACCTTTACAGTGACAATATATAAAGGTATCCTGAGCATATAGCTGTGAAAGACCTGAAGAAAAAAAGCACCATGCCCCCTCCAAGCAGAGGTTTCCATACAGGCTCCATAGGGAGCTGATGGGAGTCATATCTTTAAGGCCTTCAGGGATGCGAGAGAGAAGGTCAAGATGAAAAGACCTCAGAGCGAGAGGACTTTGTATGATTTCCACTGCAAAAGGTTCCAGACTGGAGTGACTTCAGCACAATGTTCTATTAATTTGTGCGGCTGTGAATGAAAACAGTGGTGTGAATGAATTCAAAGTAGCATTAATATGATACTAAAGGCATCTTTTATACAAACATTTGCAGACACTTTTTGTCGTTTCTCAGACTAACTCCAATTTATGAGCAGCTTATTCTGTATTTCTCCCCATTTTTGTCTTTGTTCTCCATTACTGGAAACGTTTCCTGATCTGTAAATGCTGCAAGAGGACCTTGTTTACTTGAACAATCAGTGTCTCCTCAGAGCAGCAGTCATGACATACGTTGGTGTGTAAGTGAGAATCAGTTTAAATGAACCTGCTCCTTTTAAAAAAAAGTATGAGAAAAGCAGCAACTTAACTTATCACATTTTCGAGCGTAACCACAAGCAAAGCCTTAAACTTCTGACATCCGTATGCTTGGTGCTTTTTGAGCTTATGAAGTGGTGTATTGCGTATTCTTTGGATACGAATGACAATCAAACTTATATTTCTTTGTCATACCATTATTATCCACAGCCAAAAATAATTACCCAGGGAGTCTCGTAACTCGCCATAACATTGCCAGAGCAGCGTATCTACATCTCTATGAGCTGTTAATCCTCAGTGAGCCTCAGATCAGCCTGAGATCCTGCAGGACTTCTGGTCCTTCTGCAGTCTGAGCTGAAACCAAAGAGACCCCCACTGTGTGGATAAACAGGCCACAAACATCAGCGTCATCTCTAAGACTCAACTGCTTAGGGCCACTTTCTCTCAATTGTCGTCCTCTGAATTAGTTTTTAGTTTAGTGTTCCTGAACTTTCGATGGTGAGTGGTTTTGTTTCTACACTTTGCTCCTGCTGCATTTTATTCTTTGTAAAGCAGTCCTGAGCTGCCGTGCCATATATATATTAGAAGAGAACACAGGTTGGTTGATTTAGAGTCCTTCATTTTCCTATTTTTCCTACCAAATATTATAGTTAGCTTTAGGACAGTAAATTCTAGGTTAGGATTGTACATCCTGGACTTTCTCGCAGTGGGTTAGGGTCAAAATATTGTGTCCTGGTTTGATTAAAAACTATGGGCGATAAAAGCCAGCGCAACAAAGTATTTACTTTGATTTTAAGAAGTCATGCACTGTTAAAATCTGCAAGCTACACTTTTTTTTAAGAAAACCATCAAATGAACAAAACTCCTTCAGCAACAACTTCTCTATTTTTGCTCCAACAGAAACTTCCTGGGGACCAAAGAGACGTCTCTGCTCCTGATGGCCATGTTTCTCCTCGCTGTGTTTTATCACGGCCAGCAGGTAAGACAACGCCAGCTTCGACACTTCCATCACCAGTAAAACCTGATTCATCTCCTAACGATCACCAGACCTTAACCATCGGGTGTTGGATCAGAAAACCTTTGTGTGTCTTTTTTCCAGAAAGCACTGGCAAGTTATCTTGTTGTTACGGTCTGAAAGCTTGTGAAAATATAGAGATTATTGGCTCTACAGAGACACATTCTCTTTCTTCTGAGAGGATTCAAGCAGCGTCAGACAGTGCAGGGTTTGAGTTGTGCAAGGAAAAGGTAAAGACTGAGCTTCATGTGCAAGATGAGACTCTTGCCACCATAATCTCCTCCCAAAAGGACAACTTCACTGCCGCTGCACTGGGCTTTAACACGATCAGCGCAGCAGAGCTAACAGTCAGTGGTGAACCTCTGCTTTAAATAACAGAGACAACAAGAGTTGACGGTACTCAAACGAGACAATTAGAGTACAATTTTACCTACAATCTAACATTGGAGAAATGTGCCTTGCCCATCCACCTGCTGCTGTACTCTGTGTGATGCTAATGGATAGCAAGGTGTATTATGGGTAAAGCTGAGAACATTTCATTTTCTCTTTTTTTTAATGAAAGTAATGGGAATATTTCCAGCTGCTGAATATAAGTTTCCATCTTCCAAGCTCAAAATTACAAAAATGAATCCAAGGATGTGATTGGACTGTTGGATTTAAAATCAGTAGGGGGTGACAACAAAAGTACGGTTGTACCAAATTATTATTTGTGGGGTTAGTGTAATATATTTACTAAAATGTATTAGTAATTAATTACACTACTCACCCGAAGCCAACATGGACCACCAGGAGTGTTTCAGTAGCGTATTTATTTGTGTATTTTGTCCTAAAAAAGGAAACAAAAGGCTTAAAATCTCCACTAACACTAAATTCGCTGCTTCAGCTGCACAACTTACACTATAAATTAACAAAGTCGACTGTAATCATTTATTGATTGCTTCTGTTGAACTTGGTGGGGATGAGGTATATGGGCATAAATAATAACTTCAACACAAGTCTCAGACAAACTTCCATCTTATAGTGTAGAAGATATCATTTACAAGATTCTGCAGCAGCAACGTTTCATATATACGGCTGAGCTGGAAGCACCGAGCTGACAGGACATTTTCAATTCATGTGTATCAGAGACTTCAGGCTCATCTGCAGTGACACTTGACTTCTTGGCCCCGAGCAGTAAGTACTGACTTTCTACTGAGGGAAGAGTTCAAATGAGATGGTTTCTTGAAACAGATATCGCTGTTGAAATTTTTAAATGAACACAGAACCCCCTGTGTTTGCACTGGAGGCAAAAATCTCAGAAACAGATGTCTTAAAATCTGGACAGATAATACAAAAGGTTTCTCTAAGTCTAGATACTATCTCCCAATTCGGAGTAAGTGGATAAAGGGGTTGCACAGTAAATCTGAGGGGTTGTGAGATAAATAAAGGAATAAGAAAGAAGAAAACATATGCAAGCTGTGATGGAGGGGTCCAAGTAGCTTTAAGGGGTCACAAGCCAGAGAGATTGGGAACCAATCATCAAGAGAAAACCATCCTGTCGGGTGTAATATCTGACCCCGAGAGACACATCTTCAGATACAAAGAGAACCAGAAACAAACCACTTTCTTTCACCCATCTGATACATTATACAAGCCTTTTTTTCATAAAGATGCAGTCAGAATCAGCAGCCTGAAGGAAACTGGTATCACCGTGCTGCTTTCATGCTCTCTCTATGGCAACCTTTGATCATGCAGTTCAGCGGCTCAGCGTTGGGCAGAGATGGAGGAGAGACGGCCCGTAATTGAAGGTCCTTTGTTGGCCCATGAAAGTAGAAAGCAGCCGCATTTGAAGTCATCCAGTGGCATATTGATTTTCCCAGGGTCAATTCTACCACTTGTTTGGCAAAGCAGAGACAATGACAGCTCACAGCGTGAAGCAAACACTCACAGCTCTGAAAAAAGCTGTTTGTGTGAGAGAAAAGAGACAGTTTGCTCTTTGAAGGGAGGTACAGTGCGCAGAACGGGGTCCAGCTCTCTGTTTTAGTGCAGTGTTAATGGTTTGATGTGCCAGGTTTGGACACAATATGAACTCTGTAACTGGCTTCTGCAAAATATCCTGTATTATCTTTGGGTTTAATTGGTGCTGGGCGACAAAAAAAGTTTTTATTTCTGTAACAGCATATTTTAATAAAAATAAGCTGAGTCTTTCCTGTTATTTAAACACCATAACTCACACAGTTGTAAAATTTAGATCAGAATTTTTGAATCTTTGGGATTGGACCATTTTGATGATTGATTAATTATACATAGCTTTGATCGTACATCAGCTGTTTTGACAGGTAATGTAATAATTTGCTTTAGTGGAAGAAAACTTTTAAATTACTTCAATTAAATTCTGTTCACACATTTTAAATAAGCAGGACAACAGGTATCACCGCATTAGCGCTTAAATCCAGCCAGAAAATTGGACTTACTGGTAGAAACCTTGGTGGAGCTAACATGGTTTCTCCAGAAATAAAACTTAATTGGGCATTGATCTGTCTGATCAGCCTGCAATACGAGGAGCATTTCTAAAACAGCAGCCCAACAATAATCACACATCTGACATTTTCAGAGGGGAGTCGGTTTGCTGCTTACAGGAAGTAAACCAGAGGTAATATATCACCAAAGTAAACAGGAATAATGACGCATCTTCATCATTTGGATTCTGGAACAAGAACAAGGCGTTTCAGTCCTTTTGTAGCTGCGAACTAACAGCGGCGCCGTCTATTGTTGAGAAAACACAGGGTGTAAAGACATTAGTTAGTGCTTCTTTCAGACGAGACGTTCAAGTGACTGCATTGTGTGGAGGAGAAGAGCCTATTAGGGCGGAAAGATGGAGGAGGCCATTTCGCTCTTTTATTCGTCTTGTCGGCCTTTTTCATTACAAAAATCTCATTCTGCTCTCGTTCAGTGCTTGTTAAATGTGAGTGTCTGCTATGTTCACAATAACCCACAGAACAACATTTGCACACATTTCCCATTTACATTAAAACGCTGCAAGCACACAATGAATTACGTGAGGCTGGGAAAATCTTTGCTGATCACAGTACAGTTTCTACATTATTGTGCATGTAACTAGCAGTAATAAGAGATAATGTATTGATTTAAGCAGTTTTTTGACACTTTCATATGTTTTCTGCTGTGTGATGTTCATATTTCTTTATATAAACTAATTGTGCGCTGGAGCCAGATGATGTTGTTCTTCATGAACGCTGCTTCCTGTCACAGCAGTAATTACATTATCAAGCACAGCGAACATGAAGCATTTCATTACAAAGCTGCAGACAGGACTGTTACTTTGAAATTATTCTGTTGAGTCATTTTAAGCTGTCTGGGGCAGCTACGGTCACTGTCACCGCTCATTTGTCATCTGTCAATCGCTCACAATCAGAAATATGTACACGAAAGACTTATTTTACCAGCATCTGGCTGCTGGTTGGTGCTAATTTTGTGCCCTGACAGTGTTCACAGAGGGAGAGAGAGAGAGAGAGAGAGAGAGAGAGAGCGAGAGCGAGCAAGAGGAGAGAGAGAATACACCATAAAGTAGTGAAAAGTTACTTAAACAGTAAAACAATACTAACATGCAAACATTTTCATTTAATTTACTGTTTATTTGATAGGAACAGACAATTACAATGAACCAATGCAATGTATCACAGCATTTATAGCTGCTAGTGATGACCAATAAAAATGTGTACATATAATATTATAATTTCAACACAATATTTGAACCCTAGTTGGTGAAAGGCGAACATATGAGAACATATGACTGTATTTGCAGTAATTACACAGCGTGTACCATGCCAGCAGCTCTTAACACTGAATAAAATGTTTATTAAGAGTGTATCTATACGTCTCTGAGGGTTAATAGAAGCCATTTTGAATCAAAGCATCACCCAGCCAGAGGTCACGTTGGTTAACGCCTGAGAGGCCCGTTACTTCGCTGGCCACCATCTCATTATCCCGTCGCCAAACCGGCCTGGCGGGCTTTGCATTCTTAATTAGAAAAACAGAAAATGAGATTGAAGTTTTGTACTCACTCATATGATTAAAGGACTAATTGATAGCAGGATTAATCACAAAACTGTTTCCGACAATCGCCGGAGAGAGTCGCTTAAATCCTCACAGGCTTATCTGCCTGCCCCCGAAATTAATTTTCAATATCAGGGATGTTTTTTTTGTTCTGCCCCCACTCTCTCCCACAAGTACAAACTAAATGGTACCGACTTTTGTTTGGCTCTAATGTATTCAAATTACTTTGTATTAATTGTGCATTCAGAAAAGTAATTTGTGTCGCCTATTAGAATCCTTTTGTTGCACTCAGATTGATCGCACTCTCTCGTGTTGCATAATTGATCCAACCTTTAACAGATTTTTTTAATTTAGCCGTTCATTATGGGAACGGCGGCTCGGCCTTTCCATCATCCAACTGATATAAACGACAGATTTTCTGTTGAGATTTCTAAGCAATTAACAAAGTCTGGAAGGAGGAGAGAGTTTCAGGTCTTCAGAGGTTTGAGAAGTAGCATCAAATGTTTGGAGACGATGGAAAATACGTTCTTTCTGGACACTTTTATCTCACAGTGCAAAATACGTGAAAGAACATGAAAACATACAGTATTTGTACTTGACGACTACAATGAATCAGTAAGTACAGGGTTGAAAAGTGACCACTGACATTCAGAAGATGATCGACAAGCGGCTCCTCAGCAGAATGATGAACTGAGAGAGGAGACAGACGAGGTAGTGATCATGCGAGGATGAACACATTACTAACTCTCCTTTGTGTTTCTTCCGTCTTTAGCTGGAGTACACGGCCCGGCTCGACTTCCTGTGGCGCGTCCAAGCTAAAGAGGAGATCAACGAGATGAAGGAGCTGCGAGAACACAACGAGAACATGCTGAGGAACATCCTGCCCAGCCACGTGGCCCGACACTTCCTGGAGAAGGACCGGGACAACGAGGTCCGCACAAACCCGCTTGCATATTTGAATTTTTAATGAAACAAATACTGAATATTCAGTTTGCTTTAAAAGCTCGTAGGGATTCTGGGTTTAGGAGCCGAATCTCAAATCTCAACTAACACCTGAACACACCAGGATTGTTTCAAAAGTGCAACAGCATTAGCATGTGATAATAACTTTAGTTTCACAAAGAAACAGATAATCAGTGAGTACAGTGGAGTGTTGTGACAGATGGATTATCTGTCTCAAACTAATCTGAAGTGTCAAAGTTGATTTCCAAGCCCACAGAAATCAGTTCGAAAGGCAGGAAATCAATGTCATCCAGTCTGTCCCCCCAATATACAGTCGAAAATATGTTAAATATGTCCTCACTTGTTCAGTGTGCCCAACTTTTCAAACCATCAGGAAACAACAGGAAATATAAATTATAGTAATTAATATTTATTTTTTTACTATGGTCTTATATATGGTCTATAACAGTTTAGGTAAAGTTGACTTCTCTTAGCAATGTTGCTGCATTCCTACATCTCAGCTATTGTGAGTAACCTGATACTGATAGAAATGACGGACAAAACTGGGAAAATAAGACCCAACTGCAGGACTTCCTTTGTCAGCTGCTGATTTTAACCAAGATTAATATTTTCAGTAAACCTTTCAGTAAATTATAGACTAAGCCCAAGCACAATAGTGACTCTGAAGCTCAGTATTTTAGTACTCAGCTCAGAGTTTTTATAAATCAGCCCCTCCTCTGACACATCTGCACGTTTCACCTCATTTCTCGCCCCCCTCCGAAATGAGTCCCCTGCATTCATTACAATTCGCTCCCTGAGCCTCGGTGTTCCAGCCTGCGACGAAAAAGAAAAGGCCCCGTAATTGCTTTTCCAACAACTGTACAGAGAGAGAGAGAATTGGTGGGGCGGTTCATTCAGCCGGGGAGTTTTTTTCTTTCTTTTTTGGTCGCATGCATTTGATTTGATTTTAATAACATGTTGTCAGTCAGCAGCAGAGAGCACATTGATTTGTCTCTCCATCGCAGCAGTGACTCAGCTGCCCCGACTCCACAGAGAGTCAGACTTTACAAAGTTTCTCTTTTTGTTCACCTTATCTCTGCTGCCCTTTTTCCTTTTGTACTTTTTAATATAATTTAAATAGAGCTGTTCTGCACTCATTAAAAGTCTAAAACAGAAGCACACACACACCTTAACACACAGATCTGATGGGTCTTCTGTAAAGCTGGTGCTTGTTTCAGCCCGTTTATACTACATTACATGACCTTTACATCACCCCTAAACCCGGTTTTCAAATCACACCATAGTGCTGTAAATATGGCAGACGCTACACAGCCAAAACGTTACAACCTGGCTGCTCCATATCAGCCACAAGAACACTGGTGAGGTCTCGCACTGATGATGGGAATATGGTCTGGCTCGCAGTCGTCATTCGATGGGGTTGAGATAAAGATATCTGTGAACGGAAATCTCCTTCACCAAACAGTCACCACAAAGTTGGAAGAACACTGTCTGAAATATTACTGAATGCTGTCGCATGAAAATGTCCTTTAACTGGAACTTTTACGATTGGCACTCATTGGCAGGTAACCCGGTCTGCCAGATAGTGATTGATCACTCCGGACAACATGTTCACTTCCCTCCTGCTGATGCTTGGCATCATAAATTGGGGGTCTAAGGCTTGTGTACCGCTGATCGGTCGTGCCATGAAACCTCTGACACAGTTATTGTGCAGATGTTGCCTCCTGAGGCAGTTTAGAACTTAATAGCAGCTGAGGACAATTGATTTTTTCCTGTCCTCTGAGCTTGTGTGGCTGTGGATGTTACCACTTCACAGCAACAGCACGTGCAGTTGAACGGGGTAAGATCCACCAGAGCAGAAATTTGACAAACTGAATTATTGGAAAGAGGGCATCCTGTGGGAGTCCAGTATCCTCGGGTATAATCCTCCATATTCAACACATCGTCAAAGATGACCTCTGCTTCAATATGACGCTGTAGGTTTCCCCCTTAACATCATTGCTGGATGCACTGAGCTTCCAGAAATTTCAGTTAGCAAGAATAAATATGCAGCTTCCAGAAATTTCAGTTAGCAAGAATAAATATGCAATGTTAGACTTTCAAAATAAAGCTTGCATATTTAGGTATCCTCCGTTTTAACTTTTGGAAAAGATAAGTTACATAATGTACCTGACGTAACTTAAGAACATATAAATAAAATAAAACCTGACTTATGTAACGTATCTCACTTATATGTGTTACTTGTTTACTTTCTTTTTGGGACATCTGATTGAATGAACCATTCGTCATTTTTAAGTCTACCTCTGTTCTATTAACGATCTTTCCCTAAATGTATCCATACCATAGTTGCCATGCACATAAATAACACAAAGGAATCATTTTAAAAATGCGTGAAGGCTGGCTGATGACTTCAGTAATGAGCTGTCAGCAATTAAGATGAAAGATGAGACGACTTTGGGATAAATATCATTAAATATCCATCACCAAGGTTTGATATAAGCTAAAACCATCAAAAATAAAGTGAAGTATTTTATCTTTTTTTGTTTAATGTGGCAAAAATCGAGAAAACTGCTTCTTTCTTTCTTTCTTTCCGTTCTTCTTCTCGTTTACCATTTCGATAATGACTGATTGTATTGGTCGGCGGAGCGGACAGTTATCACACACTGGAGTCAAATTGCCGTATTGTCCTGGTCTGTCCTCTTCGGGCTCCTTCATTATCGACTCCTCCAATCTTCTGTTGCCTCCCGGACAAAAGGCGAGCAGCCGATGAATTATGAATGTCAGGAGAGGAGGGCTGATATCATTCTGCTCCCATGCCTGTTCCTAATTAAAAAGGACATGATTAAAAATGCATCCATTAGGATCAGTTGGGTCCTAATCACTCGTTACATTATTAATCAGGCTGTTTATTGTTCCGTGATTTAGATGCTGGAGCACTGGGTCATTAATAGGCTCCCACACCCCTGAAGAGGTGTTGATGGTCTTTGGCATTAATCAGATGACAGAAAACTGAGTGTCTTTTATATCGACATACATTAACATTTCAGCTACAGTACAATCCAAGGTTGAAGGGAGAATTTCTAGAGTGGGGTTGCTAGCATATCGGGAAGGATGCAAAATACTGCTCCAAATTTAGGCAAACCCTTGACCTCTGACTCCAAGATATCTGAATGAAAATGGGTCCTATGGGTACCCATGAGCCTCCCCTTTACAGACACTTAATGCTAATCCCATGCAGTTTTTTGCATGTGGTATAAATGTGTTTTTTTCACCTTGTGTATTTGAATATTTTTGCAGACTGGGGTCCATAAACTGTGTTGGAATTGCATAAATTGGGAATGACAGGAAAGCTTAGACACATACTTAATGTCACCCCTGCATAAGCCACACTTCTTCCAAGGTGGTGATATGTTTGTATTTGTCAAAGATATGGACAGAATGCAGAAGATTACAGACTGGAACTTTGACAGATTTTATTTTTAATACAATCAATAAACTTGTTTGGAAATAAACAGCGGAAATTTCTGCATACAGGTCCTTTGTGTCCAGTGATGAGACTTATGTTAAGTTTAACTTGTTTCTGCACTATTACTGATAGTAAGAGTGTTCACTTACATTAACGTTAACCCTGCGAGGCAGCTGGACTCACAAGATCACAAAATCATGAGATCATGCAAGAAAAACAGGTTAGCAGAAATGCTGTTAGCATCAGGTATATCAGAATTGGAGAGTATTTCTTGACTGAAACGATATCCTGTAGCCTCCACCGTCTCCAGATCTCAACCAGCAACAGAACAGGATTGGAGAATTTATGATGACACATTACTAACTACTTTTAATTTGTCACCATTCTGTATCCATTTGTCTGTGTGGTGTATAAAAGGTCTCCAGAAGTACGTTACAAAGCCTTCGCTCGCAGGATGAAACTCGAAATAAACCTCAGAACACTGACTGACGTGATCCCGCAGAGACGCAGCGAAGCACCGAGAAATTAAATTAGTTCGACTTTTCCTAACTTTCACTTTCAAGCTTTGACATTTGACAGAGCTCATTAAGTGTGTATAATGTCACAATAAAGTCAGAGGCTTATTTTCATAAGTGTGTAATTGCATTGAAAAGTCAAGCAGAATACAGAGACAGAGAAAGAGAGAGAGAGAGAGAGAGAGAGGCAGAAGCTCAACTTCTTCTCAATTATTAAAATGAAATGTTGAACTATGGCTGGACATTATGTTTACCAGCATATTTATTAAAATATTTCCATAACCACATGAGGAATTACTCCATGTGACATTAGTATGTGAGGACATGCTGTTTCATGTCAACAGGCCTGCTGCCCGGTCATGTGTCCATATTGCCCTCCAGTGGTGGAGGCAGTGTAGTGCAGCTGCAGTCTCAACAACACAGTGTCAACATGCTGCTGCTGTATGTGCTGGAGTATCTCAGTGCTCTTGAGCAACAACACAGAACCTTCAAACTTTAGTTTTTGATGAAAATGCAAGAATACATTTTAAAGCTTTTCTTAACATTTAGTGTAAATCATATTTACCTAAAGTCGGTTATGTTAGAATCTGGCAAATAACACAAGAATAACAAAGGAACGAGATGTGCAGAGACAAAAAAAGACTAAATGAAATCAGCCTCGACAGAGGATGTGATATTGCAATGTGGTGATAGATAAATAAGTATTTCCTGTCATAGTGCATCACAACAGTAAACAGTCTTGAATATGTCAGTCGTATGGCCACCTATAGGATGTAAAACAATTGTTATATACATTATGTAAAAAGATAGCACTACGTTTTTGCTATTTTACTGTCTTTCCTGACTGCATCAGTTAATGTTTTTAGGCACTTACAATGACATATTATCACCTTTAAAAAGCTGTTATTGTGACCGCTTTGGTGAACAGTTTCTACCGATTCATATAATCATCCCTTTGGTGACGTGTTTGTGTTGATCTGATGGATGTAAATCCAATATTCACTCTCTCTTTTAGCTCCATTTTGGTCTCCACCTGAGCAAAATATTTGGCTATTTAGCCGCTAAATGTTCCACTTTTTCCACCTTTTTCTGCTGTTTGGGTCCTGTGCAGGTACAAACAGGGAGTGAAACTGGTTTGAGTTCTTTTCCAACACTTAGTAGAGAATAACAGAAAGCACTCATATAAGACAAAGCACAGTTGTTCTTTTACCAATCAGAAATGTTATAACATGTAACTTTCACGCTTTTCAAACACCCGCAGTAACACCGGATGCTGCTCTGATCTGGAGACGTTTACTGGCAACAGCAGAGCTCAGAGTTTATTTTTTTAACTTTTGGGATTAAAGAATGGATTTATCTTCACTCTCTCTTCTCAACCTGTCTGCTGCGAGCCACAGAGGTGTATCCGTTTGTGTGCACCCAGAGCTCCATGATATTGCTTCATATTTATACAGAGAGCGGACAGAAAAGGAGATTGCTCAGGGAAAAGTAAAAGGGGAAATGTGTCTGTTATTGATTCCAACTGTCGGTTTTACTTTACTATGAACTAAGTTAGCAATGCCCCGATCAACCAAACTTCATTCAGAAAACACGCAAAGTTTGTTTTTATTGATTTCCTCGTGCAGGCATCAACAACTACAAAGACTAAAGAACTTTAAATGATCAAGAAAACTGTGACCGTTGAGTGTTCACTCTGTGACGTCTGTCCCCACAGGAGCTGTACTCCCAGTCCTATGATGCCGTGGGCGTGATGTTCGCATCCATCCCGGGCTTCGCAGACTTCTACTCCCAGACTGAGATGAATAACCAGGGAGTCGAGTGCCTGCGGCTGCTCAACGAGATCATCGCCGACTTCGACGAGGTGAGGCAGCAGCTCAAGTGCGCCCACTTTTAAACATGAAGGGGACCGACGTCAACGTCTTCCATTTTTAAATTAAAGCACCCATCTTATCCCATAGGACACTTCTGAAGTGATTGAAGCAAACAGAACGTATCTTATCAGGTCATCAGAAGACTTTTACCTCACATAGAAAAACACTGTTTTCATTAAGTATCCAGCGCTGATTTCCCTCAGAAGTTACAGAAAGGATTTTATTTAAGATTGCTTGTTTATCACAAAGATTTCTCACAGATTTTATAAAAGAAGTTCAGAGCAAACTGAAATAGAAAATCGTCCTGACGTCAGCAGAACTACAGGGATAAATATCTTTATCTGGAGGCTTGTGATGGTTCAACAGTCTTAAGTTTTAGGAGTGCCAGTCAGGTCTGTCTCCTGACATGGAAGTTTGTCCCATGTCAACTAACAAAAGCTCATGACTGAAAAAAATGAGCAAAATACTGAACCCCAAATTGCTCCTGATGTGCTGTGCCATCAGTGTGTGAATGTGTAAGTTTCTGTTTGTGATGGCCTTCGTCATCAGGAGGAGGAGTCAATGTGGCATACAGTGTAACAGCACTTTGAGAAGACTAGAAAGGTGCTATATAAGTACAGTCCATTCACCATATCCAACGACAAGCTGTAGCAGCCAATAATTGAATACTCACAGAAAAAGAAGAGCCCAGAACCAGTCCTTTAAATTAGACTCTTGATGATCTGAGTATCTTTCCAATAGAAGAAAAACATACTTCCAGTACTTTAAACTGATTTCAGATCAGATGAGTTCTGAGTTGTTTTAACCTAAAAATGTAAGTTTATGTGCTGCCTAGTCAGCTGAACGTAGGTTGAATAATTGGTGTAGTCTTATGAAGTAAACTGAACTTGAGAAAACAGGTTCAATAAGCTTTAAAATGTTAAGTTGAACCAACAACTGTTCACCCACATTGAGGAATCTAGACTTGACACATTATTTAGGTCAGGCTTTGAGTTTAAATTCTGGATTCACTTTTCTCCAACTGCTTAAACTGAAACTTTGTGTCATGATTTTTAGAAAGTGACACAAAGAATTACTGATCTTAGGATGTAGGGATGAATGGACTAAGTAGATGAAAAAGCTTGTCAATCCTCCGTGCTCCAGGTTCAGTCGAGTTGCTGAAGTTTCTCACTCACATCTCAGTTCCCTGTGGACGGACTGAAGTCTGGAGGAACTCCTGCTTCCGTTCGATGCCTTCGAACTGAAGAAAATGTCAAAGACTCGGAATAAGAGGCAGAGACAGGCAGAGACACCAGCTGAGCTCTCCGCTGCCTTGGGCTACTCTCCTCACTTTCACACACTTTTCCCTCAAACTGATTTTTCTCCACCGAGGAACTCGCCTTGAGAGAGAGAGAGAGAGAGAGTAAGAAGGCACAGTGACTCAGAGTATTAGAAGCATAGAACAAGATCACAGAGGCATTTTATAGGAGACAATTAGATAAAGCCGTTAATCACATGCAACCATATGAAACTGAATATTTTCTGCAGTTTTGAAACAATTATTTCACAATCTGCTGCTGTTTTTTAGGTTAATTTATATTTCTGTAGCATTGTTTCAGTCAGTCAGGTTGGCAGGATGATGCTTCATGTTGTTTTAGTAGATGGTACCTTTTCTTTCTGACTAGTTCTGACACAGATATCAGTATCAGAAAAGTCATGACCTCCCCTACTCTGACTCTGACTTTACCCCGGATATTCTCACCAATCTAACCAATTTATAACAGCAAAGGCAATTATTTAGAGTCACAGCAGGGCAGGTCATGAGCGCTGGCTGCCATTGGGCACCAACAGCTACTGTTTTAGAGCCACGAAGAGGAGATGATGTCAGATGTTAGCCAGAGCTAGCTGAATGTCAGCAATTTGACTGCCACATTAGTTTTATTGTCTAATTTGACATTATTTATCTGTATGTGTTTATTCATGTTTTTTTTTTTTTTAAGTTATTTTTTTGGCCTTTTATTGCCTTTAATGAAAGTGACAGCCAAAGGGGCAGAGAGAGAGGGGATGACATGCAGCAAAGGGCCGCAGGTCGGATTCGAACCCGGGGCTGCTGCAACAACTCTGTACGTGGGTCGCCAGCTCTACCGACTGAGCTAACAAATCATCAAATAAATGATTTGTAATATAATGTTATTCTAATGTTAATACTAGTAATATTCACACTGGTTTAAACAAACAGTTTGATTGTATTTTTTTGCAAAATTAGTCCTGTTCCAAATAAAGGCAGGCTGAGTTCAGTGATTGAAGCAAATAAAAGGGCTTTAACTTGAAGTTTTATGGTCTATGTAACATACTTCAATCAAATCGGTACTCTGTATCGGCCGATACACAAAGCTGAGCACACAATCTGCCCGTTATCTGTGCTGTGTTGTTGGAGGCAGGAAGCTGAAAGAGAAATATCCTAACTGACATTTACACTCTCCAAAGTGGAGCGAAGTGTGTGTAAAATGTTTTTGGTGTTCGTGAGCAGCTTCAGCTAATGCTTGTGTTTCATGGGAATCGATTTGAAAAGATGTCATCACATTTAAGAATCAAATTCAGACGTGTTCGTGTTGCAGTATGTCAGGATAAAAATTTAGCTCGCAGGAAATCCATTTTATTTTAGTTTCAAGTATTTTAGTAAAATGATTCCAAACCAGACTGAAAACAACCTCAGACAGGAAGACAGAAAGTTTTTAGAACAGTAAAACTACTTTTTATTTGAGAGGTTGAGTCAATGTTGTGTTCAGAGCAGCCAGTTGTAAACAGTAGACTGTAACACTTTATCACCAATAGTTTTATGTATTTATTGGTTTATAAGATCATCCAGTTATGAATCAGACTGGCAGAAGGCAGGAAATACACAGATCGTTGGATTCTTATTGGATTCATTTGATTCTGGATGTCTTCACAATAACAAGTCCAATCTGCTGATGATGATTAGCAGAAGATTTTTCTGTGATCAGAAAAGTAAACACTTCCTGATGCTCTCTTTGTCACAGTTGCTTGGTGAGGAACGTTTCCAGGACATCGAGAAGATCAAGACGATCGGCAGCACCTACATGGCCGTCTCCGGTCTGTCGCCGGAAAAACAGGTGAGATCCTCCAGGTCTCATGTGAATGTTTACCGCTGACTCACCTGTCTTTAACCTGCCTGCTGTAGCGTGTAGAGTGTGAGCTGAGTTGATGGTTAACGTGTTTTATTTATAGGAACATATCTTTATTTATATAAAATATAAACTTAAAAGATATATATTTAAAAATTAACTGAACTAAATGAATACACTTTCAATGACTGGCATAAAAAACTTACCAAAAACTGCATTTTAGTTTTATTTTAGGATATTTGTGTGTAGTGTAGTATTCAAATATATATAAAATAATCATTAAAAATATTATTATAGAACCATTTTAGGTTGTGAAAATACCGATTTACTGAAGATTCTTCTAATTTACATACATTTTTAATGTATGTTTGTGCTGGTACCTTTTTTAAATTGGTACCACTCATGTTGGATCAGTCACAGCATAGGTGACGGCATCAAATAAACCAAGAATGACTCCACGAATCTAATAGCAGAGATCAAAAATAAACAACGTCAGTGACTTCCACGTCCACCGCAGTGACATCAGGACTGTCGGTGCTTCACACGAGCAGCTCTTCTGACCGCCACGTTTCCTCTGACACATCGACACACTTCATCTCTCATCGCTCTTGTTTCATCTCGCTGCCCTCCAGTCGCCGCTGACGTTCAGCTGACTCACTCTCTTCTCCTCTGCCTCCCACAGCAATGCGAAGATAAATGGGGTCACCTGTGCGCGTTGGCCGACTTCGCCATCGCCCTCAACGAGAGCATCCAGGAGATCAACAAGCACTCCTTCAACAACTTCGAGCTGAGGATTGGTAAGAGCTCTGTCTCCCTGAGAGAGGATTCATTTCCTTGTTATGTTTTTTTCCTGACTTACGGATTATGCTTCCTCTCAAATCTTCCCCACCTGTCTTTCTTCCATCTCATCTAATCTTCATCCTCATTTCAGTCTTTAATCTTTCTTTAATCCTGTGATGAAGGGTGTAGGACGTTTCTGCTGCATCTAACGAGATTACATTATAGTCATTACTGATCAATTCATTATATTCTTTGATTGTTTAATGATCCTTAAATCTCTACAATGTTAAAAATAGACAAGTTCCCAGAGTTCAAGGTTTTATTTACCAAATAGTCCAAAACCAAGAAAAAAACTACAAAAATTACCAAAAATAAATACATTTTTGGCTGCGATGTGTTTCCTTTAGGCCTGTGATCTTACATTTTTGATGTGAAGAAACATGTTATCCAGACAGGATCTGTATTACAAATCAATTTGTGTTCTTCTATAAAATCCTTTAATATTGAAAGACTAGGATGATTGAGCATCCCCTCTGCAGTTGCACCAACTGACCACCTGTATGTCTCCTGGCAGGTATGGCCCACGGCTCAGTGGTGGCGGGCGTGATCGGCGCCAAGAAACCTCAGTACGACATCTGGGGGAAGACGGTGAACCTGGCCAGCCGTATGGACAGCACGGGGGTCAGCGGCAAGATCCAGGTCCCCGAGGAGACCTACCTGATCCTGAAGGAGCGCGGCTTCGCCTTCGAGTACCGCGGCGAGATCTACGTGAAGGGCATCAGCGAGCAGGAGGGCAAGATCCGAACACACTTCTTGCTTGGCCGGGTGCAGCCCAACCCACTCATCCTGCAGCCTCGCAAAATCACTGGCCAGTACTCGCTGGCAGCCGTGGTGCTTGGCCTGGTGCAGTCGCTCAACAGGCAGAAGCAAAAGCAGATCCTCAACGAGAACAACAACTCGGGCATCATGAAGGGCCACCACCACTACAACCGGAGGACGTTGTTAGCGCCCGGTGGCTCCGAGGTGGGAGGGGGGCATCACACTGAAGTAGCTGATAAGACTGAGCTGTCCTGAAGAGCAGACTGGAGTTTTAGTTCCACACAGGGTTCTCAGAGGCAGAGCTGCTCTTCAGGCAGAAAGTATCCCAGTGGTTGAGTTGAACTTATATGGGTGCAGCTGAAGAATGTCCGTCTTCTGGCTACGTAACGTTAGGACACAGGCACAGTTATTCGGGAATCATATGAACTTCAGCATTCCAGTACTGAAAGCTTCACCTGGTTCCAGTCAGACCTCGGAATGGTCCCCCATATTTCTGTTTTTTTTTTTTAGCAGTAGGTCCGATGTTGTGCATACTGACGGCTGTTTCCCCAGCTGGAAGAACCAATCAGACCTTTGTAGGCAGGATTAATAACAGGGACATCATGGTTCCTGCACCAGAGCCAGAATCCATTCTAAACATAGATGACTGACGGTGGTATCATCAACGGGATCAATACATTTGTTTCTACTTGTTAGGAACTGAATCCATTATTAGATTTCGTCAAATCTTTTTAAGCTGGAGATGTACTTGTTGTGTTGGGTTACGTTCTGAGGACGTGCACAACCAACGGTCCAATGGGACGCAGGATACACGAGGCAGCCATCATGCGTACACGAAAACCCACTTAAAAGCAATTATATCTCCGGCCTTAAACCTTCTGACACTAATCCCTAATGATTCTGAAACAAAGCTGCAGAGAAGGGTGTTATGGGTTGCAGAGGCATTTTGAAGACTCGCAAAAAGTCCCAAATCCCAAGAACTTGGAGCCAATTTCACAAAAGTAGTTTGCAAGAACACACAGGTTGCATAATGAATTGGATAGGGCTCGAATATGATCATGCCGGAGTCCCAAGTTGTTGTTGTGATTAGTGAAGCTTCAAAATTCGCACAAGAGGAAATTATCTCATGTAGCAAATTCAGCCTGACTGCGCTAGATGGTTTACGAAACAGAAACAAAAAAGCGGGGAAAATTGTAGGAAACAGGTAATTGAGTTTACTTCCTCAAGGGATGCTGATTGGTCCGGTACCACTGTAGTTCGGCCACAAATGCACAGATTGAAGCCTGGCAAGATGGATTCTTGCGTGATCTTGAGTCCAGCTGCCCCCTTACGAATGAGACCCCCAAGCGTTACATAAGCTGTTGGGACACAAGTTCAAATTGGATAACACTAACGTTATCCATACAAGAATGAAACAAACAGCCATGTATGTTCCCCTACATTCAACCCAGAGAAACATGTTGCAGCCTTAAAGGTCCCCTGTGGAGTTTTTGACCACTACTAGCACTACGGAGCAATGTTTTAACGTGTCGGGACCCTGTTTTGTTTGTTCTCGGACGTACATGAATCCACAGATGTACAAAAAAATTAAATAAATGCTGGTTTCAAACAAGAAAAATAGACAAATGTTTTACATGGAAATACAACAAGTTTGTTAGTGTTTTGGCGAGAAACACTGAATGTAAACAGAAACTTTGTTGTTTGTTTACAAGAAAACTCCACAGGGCAGCTTTAATCCTACAGCCAGGTGTAGGCAGGATATCTGGAAAACGTAGCTACATATTCATTTTGGTTGAGTCTTTTGTTGCTAAAACCTGAGGTCAATTAGCAGGTTAGCCTAGCTGAGCTAACAAGTGGCTTTCCGAGGTAATCTTGTAATCTAGCCTGCTGACCTTTCAACATCATGAATGTCACGTAAGAATGAATACAATCGCTTACATTTTTTTCACCAAAGTTACTTTTCCAGGTTTGCCAGTCAGCCCAAATTTGTCTGTGAACGTTTCTGTGGCTCCTCCCACTCAGGTGTAACTCAACCAATGAGATTATTTCTGCCTCCTGATGCAGCTCTGCTTCTGACGTTTGTAGAACTGAAATTCCACTTTGTTCCTGAAGGAGGAGGAGGTGGAGGAGGATGAAAAGGAGCAGGAGGAGGTGGGGTAGGGAGGGAGGGAGGGACTGGACGGGACCGCCGCGTTCTGTTTTCATCCGCCCTCATCTGTTCGATGTCTGTGTGACTGATCCCCTCGGACTGTCTGACGTTCCTCCTGTCGTTTCAACTTCCCCTTTTTATGTCACCCGGCAACCGACCCACCCCCAAAACCCAGAAACCCCATCCCGCTCTGACCCTCGCCCGGTGTCGATGTTTCTTTTTTGTATTTCTTTTATATATGAGAACACAATAAAAGGGGTCTAATTTTTTATATAAGCCATGTGTCTGGTTGCCTTTATTTTTGCCACATTTGCACAACTTGACCATCAGAGGGTTGTATCAGGAGGTCAGCACTGATCATATGATATGTCACATTCATTCTCATGTATTATTTATGTTCTTTTACCAATTTCTTTCACAGGACGTCTGTAATGCACAGACAACTAGATGCCTGCAGTTGTACAAGAGTAGATGACTTTTTAAGGATTTTATTGTGGAACTTTTTTGCAAAAATAATAATAATAAATTAAAAATAATTTCTACAGCACCTTGTCACAATGTTACACAGTGCTTTACAAAGGACACAAAACAATAAATCTGCATCACACTTACATACAAATAAAATCCAGCAAATAAATAAAAATAAATACCTAAAATTTCCGTTCAAAATAGAACGCGATATGTTCACATATGTAGGAATTAAAGTTACCCACAAGATAGAGAATTTGGAGAAACACAACGTTAAGTCATTATTAGAACAAATAAAACAAGATCTTGGGAAATGGTCAACATTACCGATTTCATTAGCAGGTCACATTAATATAGTTAAAATGGCAGTCCTACCTAGATTTCTTTATGTGTATGTGTTTTATCCCCATGAAAACATTTAAACAGTTAGATAGACTAATCTCTTCATTTATATGGAACAATTCTAATCCTAGGATGAAAAAAATGTACCTGGAGGTTCCTAAAGATGCTGGTGGGTTAGGATTACCCAATTTTCTTTGGTATTATTGGGCTGCTAACATAGTAAAACTAATTCATTGGATTTACACATATGAGAGTAAGCAGGGTCCAGACTGGGTTCATATGGAACTATTATCCAACCCTCTATCAACACTCACATCATCGTTACCACACAACTGTAGTATACAGTTCACAAACCCGGTTGTTAAAGCCTCACTTAGGATATGGTTACAGTTTAGGAGACATTTTGATTCAAAGCAGTATAGCAGATATTTCCCAATAGCAAATAACCATTTCTTTCTTCCATCTGGGTTCGACAATGCATTTCAATATTGGCATAGAAATGGGTTGATAATCTTCTGTGATTTGTACCCTGATAAGGTGTTTATTTCGTTTGACCACAATATACCCAGATCGCATTATTTTAGGTTTTTTCAGATATGTAGCTTTACCAGAGAAAAGTTTCCCTCGTTTCCTCTCCCACCACCTAGGAATCATTTAGATGCAATTCTAAAACTGGATCCTTATGAGAAGAAACGTGTATTTGTGATTTACAATATGATAGGAGACTTGAAACCGATATCATGGGATAAAACTAAAATGGCATGGGAGAAAGACTTGGGAGTTGAGCTTTCTGATATGTGGCAAAATAGTCTAAAACGTCTTCATACCTCGTGATTGTGTATACGCCATGGTCTAATTCAATTTAAAGTGCTCCATCGCCTGCACTATTCAAGGGATAAATTGTCCAAACTCTTTCCCACTGTAGATCTTGGCTGTCCGAGGTGCAGCTATGTACCCGCCACGATACGACACATGTTCTGGTCATGCACCTCCCTCAACGACTATTGGAGGCAGATATTTGATGTATTTTCCAAAATCTGTGGTCAGACTGTAGCACCTGACTATCACACAGCCATCTTTGGCGTACCACCCCCAGGCTGCAAAGTCTCAAATTTACAAGCAAATGCTTTGGCATTTGCTTGCAGACTCATACTTTTTAATTGGAAATCAAATACAACCCCGTCATTTCTGCAGTGGTTGAGGGAGGATCTTTTCTACCTTTGGAGAAACTGAGATACAAGATATGTAAAGCCGCAAAAACTTCACTCTGACCTGGAGTCCCTTTATAGACTTCGTAGAAGGTTTTCCCTTTCAATGATACACCTTAACACTAGTTGTATTGAATATTTACAACTACTTTATAACATGCTCAAAATATCAATTCACCCAATTCCTGTCTGATTTCTGTATTTGTTTTTGTATTTTCCTGTTTATTTAATTTAATTTAATTTAATTTAATTTTTGTTTAAGAGCCTTGGGGTGGGGTGGGGGAATACATTTCTTTTCATGTCTATGTTTGTAAGTTGTATGTTTGTTAATGAAAAACTGCAAAATAAAGTACCAAAAAAAAAATTATTACCTAAATACAATCAAATAAGATAAAAAATAATAGAAACATAAAAACCAAAACCTTTAGGCTTAACCAGTAACACAAAGTTAAAAGTTAGTTTAATAATGACACAATCACTGCAGTGAAATAATGTGGAATTGATGAAAGATACTCGTCCACAGTCTTCAGCAGTTTTACAAATGTCTGTGAATGTGTGAAACCTCATTTATTGTACAAATTGGATACATTCAACACAGGACTGTTTTCCTTATAAAACAGGGAGATTAAACTTCAGTGTGAAATATCAGCCTGCACACACACACACACACACACACACACACACACACACACACACACACACACTGCATTCTTCTTTCTAAATAACTTATTTGACAAAACTGATTTAGGTCCAGATCTGTTATTTACAGGGTGTAGTGTCTTAAAGTCTAAAAGCCAATTATCTGAATTTTAGGCCTTAAAATGTCATAATAATATTGACAGGTCTTAAATTGTTGGTGTTGTTGGTGTTCGGCACCTGTTTTTTCGGCCACGTCTACAGTGCACAAATGTGGAAGAAATCTACTTTTTACAACTCAGAGCGCACTACAGGTCATGTGACGAGAATTAACCACCATCATCCTGCAACCAGAAGGTTTAAGATTTAACCTGTTGAATCCTGCAGAAACCCTGCATTTAGTAAAATAAGTTTTTAATAAAGTTATTTCAGTAATTAGGTATGATGATGTACACACACATTTGGACCAAGAAAATCATTTCAGGTTCTACATGTTCAGTGTTTCCAAGCTTCAGTATCACCTGCTGCACGGACGTGAGACATTACATTTAGGAGACTGACAATCAGATCAGAGTTGAGTTCATTTTTCAATCAAGTGTCAAGATTAAAAAGCCATGTTAAAGAATCAAAGGTTTTCCAGGATTCCCAAGAACTTTGGGAATCCTGGAAAAAAAAAAGGCTTCTTCCAGTACATCAGATTAAAAGAATTAAAATGAAAACTAAAAGTTAAAACAGAGAATTTCCCATCAGGCTGCTGGGCTTTCTGTTGATTTTCACTTTGATGAACTGGAGCTGTGAGAGCTTTCATTCCCACACCTGAGAAAGAACTCTGTCTTCTTCCTCCTGAAAAAGGTTCTGATGAATCACGTCGTCGGAAGAGCGCGAAGAGGAGGAGATGGAAATGAAACCAGACACCTGCTGCACGATCCCAAACCATCTGGACTCCGACTGACTGAGCCGATGGTTGATTATCAGCTTCAGACCCGATCGCATGTACAGCTCAGCTGCAGACGCTTCACTGTTCTCCCTGACTGTAACACAAAAACACATCTTCAGGAACAGAAGTAGCCAGAGGAGACTGATAGTAGTTAGAAAAACATACATATTAAACTGCTTCAAATAACGTGGCCAGTCTGTTTTAAACAGAAATTGTGTTTAATTGAGCTCTGAGTTTAGGTGGTCTTTTGTTCATTTTAGGACCGTTTGCATGAGTTTATTGAAGCAGGGAAAACATGGGGAGGTGGATGTCAGTTGAAACACTAAAATGTGACAAATCAGTGGAGTATTTGTGTGTAAATAGAGCTGTTACTTATGGAAGCCCATTTCAGACATAAAAATCATGAACCGTGCATCAATAAAAAAGGAGGAATAAAACTGGAGTTTGTCAATAAAAGGCTACTGGTAAATAATATGACTTTGTGAGTATGTGCTGTCGTGTATTGTCAAGAAAAACTGTCCTAGAAAACAATTTCTTAAATGAGTAGAACCCTGAATAGGCTGTCAGACAAACAGCAATCAGGTGGAAGGTGTGTTCAGTTAACTCATTAACTCATCAGCTGGATGGGTATGGGACAGAGTATATAGACAACACATGCAAATACAAAAAAAGGGAATAAAAATGATGAAATTATGTTTATTATAAAGGTATCATGTCTTAAACTAGACCTTCAGTTAGCCTAAAATGTGAATCTGGATCTGATAAAGGAGTAAGTAATCTGTACACCACCACCAAATGTCTGGAAAAGTACAGTGTTTTGTCCTTTTTTGTTGATTGTATTAGATTAAACTTTAAATTTCATTGCACAAGTACAACTACTAGACAGCGAAATGCAGTTAAGCATCTAACCAGAAGTGCAAATCAGTAAAGTGCAGAGTAATGTGCATATGTACAGGGATATAATTAAAGAAAATAATATTATAGCTATATATATGAATATACTAGCAGGATATATACAGTATGAACAGCATTTACAGAATGAACTAATCTATCTAATCTCACTTCCAACTGTTTGCCTTAAGTGACACTTTTTTGCCATTTTTTTAATTTGAATTTGTTTTTGATTCCATGTTTCTTATATTTGACTTCATCAAAGACGCTGATGAAGGAATTTTCATAAAATGAAGCTCCATGAAACAGTAGAGAGAGAAAAAACCTTTGAAAAGACCCCAACTTCCCAGTTTTTAGTCTGAAATGGGTTTTCACTGTTCTAAATTTGAGTTAAAGATGTTGGCATCCAGACTGAAACACTGTAGAGAGTTCATGTTCTGATAAACATACTAATCCAGTAGCTGGTGTATGTGTATTCTGTGTGAGAGCTGATGTAGCTCTGTTTTGGGTTTACTCACTGATTCTTCCATTTTACTTTATACTTCTACTCCAACACATATTATACACTGTAAAACCTGATGAGTTAGTTCAGCTCAAACTGTTTGAGGAAACCAACAGTTTCAATATATTAACTCCCACAATTTCAGCATGTAAAAATACTTGATTTGAGTACAAGTAACTAATTTATTGTTAAAGGTAAATTAAGTTCATTGTACTTAAAACTAGTGAGTATTTTACCAAATTTATTTAAAATGTGTTAATTGACTAAAAATCACTGCATACAAATGTTTCCA